AATCTGATGCATTTTGGGTGTTCTACCAACGATCTTTTAAGCCATCATTTTATGTACTCATATGCCTGCTAAAATGCATTGAGAATCTAAGTTGGATATCGCACAGATCACAATGCATATCTACAGGAACAATATTTTGTATCCGGTATGTGAACTTTTGTTTGTTATAAATAATACATTTAAAAAAGTAATGTAAGTAGTGTATGTAGTGGATTGGGCATCATCATGTTATGGTCCCGCACCATTGTACTGTTCTGCAGTTCACCCCAGTATTACTAGCAAGTGTGGAAATGTAGACCTTGGCTAGCAAGCACGGAAGGAGACTGTGTTTTGTGCCTCCCTCCCTCTCTTAAGAAGGGAACACGCGCTTGAGACCTACTCTGTGGGTCCACAGACCCAGGTGAGCACTCCTTTGTAATTTGTGCATTCACTTGGTGGAGGTGAAGGATTATCAAACAGTCTGTTGTCCTGCACATTATAAAGTTTGCTTTGGAGGATTGCTCATGTTGTTTGTACACATTGCATCGCATTATTTGATTTGTTATCTGCACCGCATCTTTTGATTCTTTTTGGACTTTATTACACTGTGTATGTTATGTGGTTTGAGTTCAGCCTATAAATATTGTTGTATATTTCACTATTTACATTTGATTGTTTCTTCAGCTCGGCACATTATTACATACATATTTTGTATTATATCAGATATCATTTTTTGTTTGTTTTATGTAATGTGTGGAAGGGCTATGTGCACCTACAGGCATTTTGTGAGATCTAGCAGGGCCTCTGGGGTGATGAACAAGTACTGCTAAGGATGCATGCATAAACTTTTCAGTCTGCTTTACTTCTATAATGCATAACGGACAATTGTTGAGAAAGTTTAGGTTTGAGTTTTGCTACAAAAAACTGTTGACTTGCTTCTGCTAACCAGAAACCAGCTAATAACATACCTCACACGTTGACAAGTCAGTATGGCCATCCCCTAACTGTTTACCCTACTTTGTACACACTGTGTTGCATGTTTTATATTTTACACTGCTTCAGCCAATACACTGTACTATATAATATGTATTCCACAGCATAACACTCTGTATGCTGCACTGTACACACTATACCTCACTCCACTCTGCTCCATACAATCTTCTGTATAATATTTCTACCTCTCACTACTTTCTTCCCTCTTACTTACCAAACACTGAAGTGCCTACTTCTTCACATCCCCACCTGTGCCCAAAATTGACAGAGTTCTGTGGATCATTGTATTTTGGCAGCTAGATCTAGGCACTGTGAGGTTTTAGATCAGGATTTGAATTATTTTGGTTCAGAGAGTCCTCCATTGCAAAATAAGGTGTGTATGGGAAATAGGGGCTTATTAATGTTAGGGCTCAATTTAGGGAGTTAAGTTAGTGTTAGACTCAGCTTTTGCAGGCTGGTTGTGGGGAATGGGGTTAAGTGTTACATACATACTTTATGGGTTAAGCAACAGTAATTTTGGCCAACCCCAAAATGTTGGCTTGGGCCCATCATTATATTAAAATGACCCCAGGGATAGGAGAAGTAAAGCCTAACATTTATGTACAAGTTATAGAATACATTGGGACTTTTAGCCCAACTCACTCACCTAAAAAATTATTTAATTTTTGCTGAGGCTCCCTGGGCCCATCTGCACCTAGTGGAAAATCCTCATCCTCTGTAAGAATTTAGATTTTCAGCAGCTATTGTAAATTATATTTGTAACTAGATTTTAAGGAATGTTGGATCTTGTGTGTTCTTTGTAGAGTGCAACAGCTTATTCAGTAACATTCTGTTTATCAGTTGCTCTGCAGCCCAGAGAATCACACACTCATACTGATCCATGTAGCTAGATATTTAAAAAGGCAGGACATTAACTCCCACCACTAATCTATCTAACCATGACTGTTCAGTGAGAATTTGAAAGTGGTAAGCCTTGTACCAAGAAAAATAGGTATAGTTGGCAAGTGTAATGAGTCTTCTCTGATGCCAGAGATATCTAAAAATAATTTCATGAGGCCAACCCAACAGAAAAAAAGTAGATATAAGAGCCAAACTACTCTCAGGCAATGTGAAAACTAAATTGAGGGGAAAAACAATTGCATTTCAGCATGTCCACATTTTTCTGTTGGCAAGTTGGGCAGAAGATGACAGCAAGTGTTGGTGCTTCAGAAAAGGAAGCAGGCATGAGCAGCTGTATTACCACATGTACCTCTTGGTGAGACATATAAATGTAGAGCGTCTCTACTATCACCTACAAATTCTGGTCTTCAGGTATGGAGCAGGCCTACACTCTCTTCCTAGCCTCCAATAATGCAGTGTTCAGGGCCTTAGCAACCAACCATGAGGTCAGATAACTTGGGGGTAGGATTAGCTAGCCTATGCAAATTAAGACTTTCACCAGGTCAGTATTTGCCTAGGAGTATATTAGGTTATCAGTACAGTAAATCCATGTTGCTGTATTTGTTTTTTTTCATTAAAATAAGAACAGGTTTATAGAGCTGGTATAAAACCTTAAGTGAATCATTCTCCAGAATAACTATTAGCAATTGAGTAATCACACATTAATCACACATGCCAAATAAATATAATTAATGTATTAATATTTGTACTACTTGACAACATGATCAAGTAAGATTACTCATGAATGATCATTTTTCAAACCAGTATAACAACATTAAATGAACGTATTTGTTATGCAGTCACCATTATTTATTGTTACAGAATCGTTAGTTTTTGAGCAAATGTTACAATAGAACAGTTAATAATGTCTTTTCAGGATTGATTTGTACACAAATGTGTTTTGTCTCATACTTCTTACTGGAATACACATGATGAATGAGTGACCCGGATAACATATATACACATACAATAACAAAGTGTAAAAAAATAAACATAACAACCTGAAAATTAAATATATCCACAATATTTATAACAAAGTATAATTCACTAATAAATTAAGGTACTTAGCTGTATTCATGTTCCTATTAATTAATCTTTTTTAGGGACAAATTAGTGCAATCATATACTATACAACACCCTTATTATTGCCTATAATTTCCACAGGCTGGAAAGCAATAAAGTATATCTAAAACTAATGTTTTGGTTTTCATTTTAAAGTAGAGATCTTAAAATCCCTGTCAGTTTTTTTGCCATCTGTGTCCTATTAGTGACATTTTCCTTTCCTTCTTGTCCTTAGCACAAAACAAAAAGTGATAGGAAATCCCTCAAAAAGCAAGACAAATCCCCTCTTCAATTGATAGTTGTCACTGCTAATGACCTAATAGCTAATTACCAACTCATTGGGAGATTTACCCTTTATTTCTGTTTTTGAATTTCCCATCACTTTCCATCCTGGTAACATTGGTAACAGGAAAACTAGAGTAAATCTCCCCAGGTGAGTGCACAAGCAGCAATGAAAACTGGGCAAAGGGATTTAACCTTTCCACACTCTAAGAAAATTTTAAAACAAAAACGTTTTGGCTTTAGATATTCTTCATGAATTCTTGTTGGAGCTTAGGAACATGCTAAATCTATTTACAGTATTTCAACATTGTTTTTACTAGAATAACAAAAAAATTCAATATAAGCTATATGTCTGAAGAATTTTATTTTTCAGATTTTCTTGAAAATACAAGAACGTATTGGTAATGTATTATAATATATAATGAAGGTGTTATGTTTTGTCTTTGTTCCGTAAAAGTGCTGATTCTCATGAGTGAGAATTGGTGTTGCTAATTCTTGTGAGTGGTGCCTCAGACATGCCACTTCATAGACTACATTTTCTTGGGTACTACTCCAAAGCACAGAAAGTTGGTCACACCTGTGTGTACTGTACTACTACACTTCTAAACATTTTTGTACATACGCATGCATAAAAGCATGCAAACATATATAAACACACACATATAACTACCCATACATTTACATGTATGTACAGTTACATGTCTATTTAGGAAACTCTTAGTGCTTAAAAACGAGACCTAAAATGCCTCCCAGCATTGTTGCATTGCACATTGCTTCAATTTTATAATCTTTGTATAACAACAGCTTTACATTCCCTTGACATCTGATTTAACCATCTGGGCTCATCTTTTGCACCATAAACCTGACTGGCAGCAGAGAACAAACAAAGCTGGATAATATTTAGTAATGTCTCTTAAGAGGAAAAAAATTGTGCCAGAGCAACCATAGATACACTCAATTTTTCTCTCTCGGTGCAGTGTTCTACATTGTTCAAAAATTGTGATTAGTTGTTGTGGACAAAAAATGCTATCTGAGACGATTGCACATTCAAGCACTTCGATAAATAAGGCCCATCATGACACTGGTCAGTTGGCTAGAATGGGTTGGCTGATATTTATATGCAGTCATATGTGTTTAATCGGTAACACAACTCTATTCTATAGCGCAGAGAGAAGGATGTATAGAGCAGTAACATGGCAACTATACATAATTTACATATAGCTCTACTGACTCCTGTAACCTGATGTGCTTGTTGTTAGGGAACACTGCACTTCATACATTATTCTAGCTCTTTGCTTATTGCTCTGATTTTCAATTACACCGGAAAATAATATACATAGGGCTTTTTGGTAATGGGCATGAAGATTATAAATATACACATTTTAAAAAAATTATATTTCTGACCTAATCAAAAGGCTAGAGTGATCTGTTTTAATGTGGGTATGATGCACAACTCTTCCAGTGTGTTGTAGGCTTTTAGGAAAGCAATATGAGGTATTGTTCTAGAAAAGCATTGAACTGGCTTATGCTGACTTTAATTCATCCTTTCATGAGGAAGACTGATGGTTTTACTTAATTTGTGCTGTGTTAAATATCCAGTGCTTTCAGCTTATTTTAATACTTGACTGTCCAATCCTTAAAGACAACTGCTACATTCACATCAGTGGGCAGATTATGTCTTCTAGTGGAAGTAGATGACTGCTAAAATACCTGTCCGTAACTGTTGGTTTTAATTCTCCCTTATGCTAGTAACCATCTTGACAGTCATTATCATTCCCAATTGCTTTCCTGTTGAAAAAATCAAACATTAACCTTCTACTATCAATTTCAGAACTTTTTGATGCTCTACTGATATCTTCCTCTGAATCACTGGATTCACTTCTATTTCTTACTTCGTCTGTCTCATCATCGCTTTCTTTGGAACTGCTTTCTTGGCTCTCATCACTCTCTGATGTTGTGATGTCTTTGTTATCCTTCTCTGCTGAGTCTGAGTCATTTTCCTCTTCTGTCTCATCTTTGGAAACACTGGAGATTTCTGCTGATTTGCTGGATGATTTACTGTCAGGCAATGTATTATTTCCTAGCACAATGGACCTTAGTTCAAAAGATTTATTGGACTTATTGGTCTCTTTTGACTCACTGCTTCCTCCATGCTCTAATGTGGTATCAGAGTCATCTAATTTGCTGTCATTTGCTGACACATCTTCAGAGTTTTCTTTGCTTTGTGTGTCTTCCCTTGATTCACTTTTGTCTTCTATGGATTTGTCACGAATGTCTTCTTCCTCTGATTTGCTTTTGCTTCCCGTTTCTATTGACTGTTCATGGTCTATTTTCATTACCAATGTTTCTTTGGATTCACTATGGCTAAACACACCAATATTTTCTTTTGATTTACTAACATTCTCTTCTGAAATTGTGATATCTTCTACTGACTTGGTAATGTCTTCATCTGACTCCTTGGACTGGGAGGCATCCTCATTTGAGGGACTAGAATATTCTACTGACAAACTAGTGCCCACTTTTGAATGTTTATCACCTGCTTTTAAATGTACATCTTCCTTTGAGTTAGTGTTAGATTCTGGCGAGTGGGTGTCCTCTGATGAGTGAGTTTCCTCTAGTGAATGAGTGTCTTCTATTGAGTGTGCATCTTCTGCTGAGTGAGTTTCCTTTAGAGAGTCAGTGTCCTCTTGTGGGTGAGTGTCCTCTGGTGATTCAGTGTCCTCTGGGGAGTCAGAGTCTTCTGGTGAGTCAGGTTCCTCTGGTGAGTCAGGTTCCTCTGGTGAGTCAGGTTCCTCTGATGAGGCTGGGTCCTCTGGTGAGCCAGGGTCCTCTGTTGAGTCAGGGTCCTCTGGTGAGTCAGGGTCTTCTGATGAGTTAAGTTCTTCTTTGGAAGCAATATTTTCATTTGAGTGGCTATCATAAACCTTTGATTGCTCTTGTTCACTATGCACCCCTGTATCTAATCCACTTGTTTTTTTAGAATCTCTGTTTTCTAAGCCCATGCGTTTTGCTGACACTTGCTTTTCCTCCCCAGATTTGCTGTTGTGCATGTCAGAATTGCTCAGGATTTTAATTTTGCTGCCCTTGCCTTTTGGACCTTTGGAATTTTTTGATGTCTTCTGCTTTTCTTTCTTCATATTCCTTGTTACGTCTTTGCTTTTTTCAAGAGAGGTACTAGTAACATCCTTGTTAACACTGAGGTCACTGTTAGAGTTTAGTAATGTATTTGAATCATCATTTTGCATGTTGTCTGCATTGGATTCATAGCTATACTCTTGGCTGATAAAGTTATTTTTAAGATTTGTATCCTTGTTTTCATTATTGTCATAGCCACAGTCTTTATTAGTCTCTGTGCTGTCCCCTGCTTTGACACTTACATTATCTTCATAGTCATCATCCTCAGCATCTTTATCATCATGAGTATCTTTCTCTTGATCTTCATCAGTGTCATTGGCTTCATCATCTTCATGGTTATCATCAAAATCAGGGTGGTCACCAGGCTCATATCCTGCTTTGCTGAGATCATGTTTTAACTGATTATTGGCACTTGAAGGTTTGCTGTCATTCTCTGGGTCACTTCCACCTTCTGAAACATCCTGTACAATAAAAGAGCAAAATCATATACCATGACAAAAAAACATTTTCAGTAAACTTTTTGGGGGAAAAAAAATCAGTGTTAATGACACTTCAACACTGTATTAATGCACTTTATTCTTACACTGTAACCAGCTTGTGTTTTTTTTAAAGGTGATTTTGGAAGTAAAATATATGTTTATCTATATAAATTAATATATTAGTTATATTTATACTAATATGAATTTACAAATATAAATATATACTAAATGTATAATATAAGATTGGAACTGTAGACGCATACACTGTATTACAAAAAAATTCAATGTGTATTAAATGTATTTTTAAAAACATATGCAAATACTGAAAACTCTTTTCATATTAGCTAAGTATTCTGGGCCAGCCTGGGCTCTATTGGTTTGCTCAGCGATTTAAGTTTAATATTGTAAAGTATACACAATACAGAACACATAAAAACAGCTGTAACCTCAGGGGCTCCTTCATTGTGGAATGAGCTAGAGTAGGGGAAGTGACTAATGAAACAGAACCGCAGCAGCCATTTTGTTTCCATAGTCAGCCATCAATTGCATGGGTTTTATTCAAGGGGAGAAATTTTCTAAACTGTGTACGTGCTTGAAGCTATTACTATAAAGTAAAATATACAAATAGAGCATACAATTAGGATCTTGGTATTACGATTTTTACTTAGAGTTATGACTTAAAACAAACAATCTTAGCCAAACATGACCTGAAATTTGATTGAAGAACATTCAGCAAAGAAAATGTACAATAGTATGAGCCTGTATGACAGCATGAGCCTGAGTATTGACCTGAAAAACTATGAGACACTTCCAAAAGACTATTTCAATACCATTTTTTTTAAATTGTCTGACTTTCTCCACACAGATAATTTGTGAAATTTCGCCACACAAAAGAAAAACATGGACTTACAGATGTGACATTGTCAGGTGTGTCTTCAGGGCTCCCAGATTCATAATTCTCATCATCAGCATCTCCTGCAGTAGCATGTTCAGTGGATTCTGTCTCCTTATCATCTTCATGGCTGCCATGTAATTCCTTGGAGTGAGTAGGTTTAATGTCTTCTTGGTTATCTTCATCATCAATGCCTATCAGCTGTTCTTCAATATCTATGCTGTCAATATGGTCTTGGTCTACAGTGCCTTCATGTAGTCCACCACTAACTTCATCCGTTTGACGATCAACAGCTGTCTCCTTACTTGAGTCATACTATAATATTTATTCAAAAGGCAGAAAAGGTTCATAAACGTGTAATACGTAAAGGGTGCATCTTTCTTTCATATTCAAAATTACAAGGTATTTTATTTTTAAGCGGATTTTCTTATATGAAATACCTTAAAATGAGATATAATGTAAACAGACATGTAAATAGACGTATTCCTGATGATCTCATATCTATAGGAACAGGCAGTAACCCACTATTCAGGAGAGAAACATTTGGCGCCACTGGCAGGAAGATTATTGAATACATTTGAATTTCTTCCTATGTCAGCCAATATTTCTTACCACTCTTTTGAAAAAAGAAATAGCCTAATGCCAAATAAAGCTAATGCCAAAAAATTGTGTCACTAACAATTTAAGAATATTCTGGGATTCATGAAGTCATTCATAACACTGAATTTTACAATTTCCTTTAGGTTTACCAACAACTGTGTAGTACAACATCCTACTTGATTAACTGTGTATTGAATTTGTTTTTTAAGGTTTAAGGTTCTCATACCACATAGTTGTTGATAAACCTAATGAAGATTTCTGCAATATTGCATACTCAGGTAAACTCCAAGTAAACTCAGGGAGTCTTTCATCCTCAAAAATCACTGACAGGGTTGATGAAAAGAACACCTGACATGGAAAACTAGGGGCTGGTATTCATAATAATTGGTTAAATCTACTTATTTTTACCCTACCTACACAATAGTGCCAGTGCTTAGGTGAGGAGAAGGCAACTGACCTAAACCAACCACATGCACTTTGGAAGGTGATGTCCTCTTCTAGGCACCCCTCTTGAAACTCCCTACTCTGACATTAAAGGACACAAAGGTTAGAGTCCAGGAGATCCACATTCTTTTTTTTTTTCTTGGGTGCGCCTACACAGTGCAACCCCAGAGACTTCCATATGATCATCGCTTGATACAAGATCTGATTGGGAGAACCTTTTGGGGTTTACTGCTCAGGCAAGGCAAAGCAAAATAAGATTTTAAACATACTCACATTGGAAGTTATATAGTAATTTCTTACAGAAAGAAAGAATAGTTCAGCATGAGCCTCTGAATATTTTGTAGTTGGGGTTGTTCAGTTTAGTTAAGTATGCATCTGGGACAGGGGAGTGGGTTAGTTTAGGTCAGGGGTGAAAGATAACTGTACTTTATATGAAAGTACCGTAATCCTTTAACTAGGCAAGATCATTTTTGCGTAACCACCAAAATTTAGCTTTTGCTTCTAAAGAATCCTACATAAAGAAAGGCCCTATAAGAGCAGGGTCATCAACAATTAATGCAGTTGTCTTAGGCCCCAAAGCCAGTAAATCTCTAACAAGCACATGCTTTTGTGTTCATTGACTGGGAAGCGAGTAGCAGAATTAATGTGTAGTAGAGTGTATAGCAGAGTCAAGATGTGATTCTTGAAACTGTATGTCAATAAACCATAGCTGTCTGCTTTATTAAGATGATGTACATATTACCACCTCCTTAAACATGTTTTTATATAATGATATACAATGGTTCTGGTCACATGAAAATCTAATCTTTTTTTTACTGTTTCATGTAAGTATTTGTAGATATTGAAATATTACCAACCTGTTGTTCTGAGCTCCTTAAACTGGATTCTGAAGACCTACTGCCACCCTGTATAAATTAGAAAATAATATTAATCTTACACACTTTTAAATTAGATTCACCAGCTAATACTTTCCCATATTTCCCTTTTTTGTTTAGATTGTAAGACTAAATGCAAGTATATGCAGGACCGGATTTACCCTCCCTGCCGCCCCAAGGCCGGGTTTGGCAGTGCCTCCCCCCGCCGAGGAGAATGCCAACCAGATAGCAGGGGTGGCAGAGTTGGTTTTAATTTGTTTTATGGGTTTTTTTGTTTCTACTTTTTTATGATTTTTTAAATTTTTTTAAATGTTTATTTATCTTGTCATCTTTTATGTTTTTTATAATTATGTAACTT